ACCTGTGCCCCTTCGGGGCTCTGACCTGGGGCGTGGCGGGAGGAGCTCCTGCCCAGCTAGGACCCGTTCATAGAAGTCTCTTCTCACTGTAGCCCAACAGCGAGCGGCTCTCTCCTGGGACAGTGTGAACCCCGGGTCCAGGAAGCGGGGCTGCTGTGCAGGGAGTTGGCCGGGGTGGGCTTCCCTCAGCGCACCCCACAGCCTTTCTCTGCCGCCCTCCCTCCAGAGCCGGGCCCTGCTGGGTCTAAACAGTGTCACCAGGACAACCAGCCGAGTCCACAGAGCTGCCTGTCCTGGGTGCTTCCAATTTCCTGGCAGGGAAGACTAATTAGGAAGGGCTGCTCCTCAGCTGTGAAGACTGTTGCTAGCTCTTTCGGTTTTGTTCTGGAAACCTCGTCCTTCCTCAGGCCAGTGCCCAGGGCTCCGTGCAGGTTCGCCGCCTCCACCAGACCTGAACTTCACAGGTGGGCCGCAGGTCTTCAAGGTGGCAGCCCGGAGCCCTTGGGCACCCTGGGAGACCTGGAGGCCCAGCAGTTCCTGGGTGACAGTGGGCAGCTGCAGACTTCTGGAACTTTCTGGAACATAGGGGTTGCTTGTGCAATAGCAGGCTTCACTGCGGCCCAGAGGCGGGGCCGTCCCAGCACTGGTCCAGCACCTGGACTGGGCCGGCCTCTGTGGCCCAAGGCTAGGGATGGGAAGTCACTCCTAGAGGGGAACAGACATCAGAAGGCCGCCTTGACCTTGTCCTCTCAGGCCAACTTGGGACTTGAGGACTCCTGAGGTCACCCTGTATTCTCTGTCTCGCCATCCAGTATGGGGGGCCCTAATCTCGCGATAGGTGGGGTTCGTTTGTTGGCTGGTTTGAATTGCTAGACTCTTCCTGTAAAAGGCCCAAAAGGAAGAGCTCCTTTTCCTCCTGTTCTGCTCTTAGGCAGCCATGGTCACCTTCTGCTTGTCTCCAGGCTGACCTCCAGGCTTGTTGGTTTCCGGGGCCCACAGCTCTGCCTCCCCTGGCGCCTGCAGGCAGAGGGAGGCTCATCCCTAACGCCCTGCCCCGGCAGCCCTCACCTCTCCAGGCCCAGCTGGTGGAGGCACCTTCGCTCCTCAGCAGGCCAAGGAAGCGTGAGGCGGGAGAGCTTATCAGTCAGCTCGGCTCCACGGGCCTGGTGGCAGAGCTTCTGTTCAAACAGGGCAATTTGCAGAGATGCAAGTCTGGCCTGATCGAGGGCCACACGGGAGCTTGGCAGGTGATGGCTCCCAGGGCAAAGCCAGCAGTTGCCACCATCTGCTTCAGCAGGCAGAAGAATGCCCCTCTCTGCAGGAGCCCAGGGAGTGGGGGGGGGGGGGGGAGGCGGCGCATAAGCCCTGGCACATGGTCCCAGCTGCCGCCCTGTTGCCCAGCTGCGTGCGTGCATGGTGGCCTTGGAACTGGGACCTGGGCGGCTTTCAGTTCTGATCAGCCCTGCTCTGGGCTCCGGCCCCCCACGAGCTGCGAGTGGCTCACGTCACTCGGCCTGCGTGCTCCAGGCTGGGGGACGCAAGCAGCTACCGCTTGAAGTCGTAGCTGGCACGGTGCTGGGGGGAGACCTTGGACTAGTCCACCTCAGCTGCTCACGCCACAGAGGAGGACGCAAGCTCCAGGCGAGGGGAGGCCCTGGGGGCAGGACAAGGAGCCAGGTGGAGCTCGGCCTGCCTGCTTCAGAAGGAGATGTGGCAGGGGCGAGGCCTGGGAAGCCTGAAAGTTGGGACACCCTGTCCAGCTTCCAGGTCAGAGCTGTTTGGTAGAATTGTACAGTTGGCCCCTGAAAAAGATGGGTGTGTAATGTGCAGGCCAACTTATTTAGGGCTTTTTTTTTTTTTTTTTTTTTTTTTTTAATAAATGCAGTCCAGGGGCGCCTGGGTGGCTCAGTCGGTTGAGCCTCTGACTTCAGCTCAGGTCACGATCTCACGGTCCGTGAGTTCACGCCCCGCATCAGGCTCTGGGCTGATGGCTCAGAGCCTGGAGCCTGCTTGCGATTCTGTGTCTCCCTCTCTCTCTGCCCCTCCCCCATTCATGCTCTGTCTCTCTCTGTCTCAAAAATAAATAAACGTTAAAAAAAAATTTTTTTTTAAAGAAAATAAATGCAGTCCAGTACTATAAACAGATTTTCTCTTCCTAAAGACTTTCTTAATATTTCTTCTCCAGCTTTCTTCATTGTGAGACTATATAATACACATCACATATAAAATCTGGGCTAATCGACCATTGGTGTTACCAGTAAGACTTCCAGTCAACAGTAGGTTGTTAGTAGTTAAGTTTGGGGGGGGGTCAAAAGTCATGCAGAGATTTTCAACTTAACGGGGGGCTGGCACCCTGCACCCCCCACATTCTTCAAGGGTCAACTTACTGTGAGCCACAAATGCAAGCCACATCTGTAATTTTAAGTTTTCTGGAAACGCACATTAAAAGCGAAGTGAAAAGCAACCCATAAAACTATTTTTTTAATGCATTTCTTTTTTTTTTTTTTAATTTTTTTTTTCAACATTTATTTATTTTTGGGACAGAGAGAGACAGAGCATGAACGGGCGAGGGGCAGAGAGAGAGGGAGACACAGAATCGGAAACAGGCTCCAGGCTCCGAGCCATCAGCCCAGAGCCCGACGCGGGGCTCGAACTCACGGACCGCGAGATCGTGACCTGGCTGAAGTCGGGCGCTTAACTGACTGCGCCACCCAGGCGCCCCATAATGCATTTCATTTAACACAGTGTATCCAAAATATTTTGACTTTAATCAATATAAAAAACAATGAGATGTTTTACATCTTTTCGTACTGAGTCTTTGAAATCAAGTGGCTGCCGTGTGGGACGGTACAGGTCTCCATGGAGGCTCTGTCCCATCCCGGCCTTCTCAGTGATACTTGGCTTGCTCACATATTTAAAGCCCTACATCGTTTCTTTCTTTGTCCCTTCCCTGTCTCCTGTGCTTTTAGTCTTGGGGGTCAGGATCACTGCCATCTGACTAGGAACATCTCCGAGATCAGGCTGTTCCTGCCTGCGTGTCAGCCCCTGTCTGGGGAGCTGGGTGCTGATTTGACTCGGCATTAGACAGTCACGCCAGGAATTCACCTCTTGGTTTTCTTGCAGTGAATCAGTTAGCCTTAATCGCTGGGGCGTGTGCAGGCCTCCTGTGGCGCTCGTTTATTTCCAGGAGAGCTTCTGCAGACAGGAGACAAAGCTCAAATGTTCCAAATCTCCGCCTCCTGCCTTCTCCAGCGGGGGTCTGCTTCCCTCTCCCCTGTCCACGGTTAAGGGGCCCTCCCCTGGTCCCAGCTCTTCCCAGGGCTGGAGTCTAGACCTCTTTTTTCCCTGCCCCCTCCCTCCATTGACCACCACCTCCCAGGAAGAGACTTGGAGCTCTCGGGAAGGCAGCCTTCCTGTCTCGGCTCTCCCAGGGGCTGCCGCCCCTTGTCCAATCTCGAAGATAAGGAAGTGAGCTCTCTGGTTGGATATGCGAAGTTAGCATTCAGGGCTGGCTGCTGGACCTTGCAGTCATTTAAACAATGGCCCTTTTCTGAGAACGGTTGATTGCTAGTTGTGTTAGAAGAAAATTGTCACCCTGCAATAACAGGGAGGGAGGGCTGGGGCGGCGGGGGCCACGTGCCCTCTGGGCCTGGCCTTCCATCCTTGGCTCCGCTCACCATCACGTTCAACTGGGAACAGGACTTTGGAGACCACTCTGCTCCCCTACTGCTACTTGCTCTGTCAAGGCTCCTTGGTGCCCTCCCCACCCCTGCTGCCCCCCTCAGCCCCTGCCCCTCCAGGATGGGTGACTGCTGTGTCCCCTCCCCAGGACCAAGTTCGGTGGCTTGTCCATGAGATGCTGCCCAAAGGGACTCAAACCTTTTCTGTCCTCCCGGCGCACACGGCCGGTCTCAGCTCTGTCCCTGCCGTCTCCAGTCGGAGGGATCCTTCTTTCTTCTCTGGGTGTTTTCTGCCCTCAGCTGGGCCTGCCGGGAGGTCCCAGGCCTCCAAACCCAGCACGACTGCCTCCCTCCCTTTTGCTACTGCCCCAGCCCTTCCTCCACCGAAACTGTAATGGTTCCAGGGAGTGGCTCTAGAGCCGCGGAAGGGTTCTTCTCGGCGGGCCAGTGAAATGAGTGGCTGGCAATAGAGGGGGCACCGTGGGAGAAGGCGGCCACCGAGATGGCCTCCCTGGCACTCAGTGTGAGGAAGAGGCCACGAAACTGGTACGGCTGTCTGCCACTCCACCTGTCTCGAGAAAAAGCCACCAGGGACCACTTCTGGGGGACGAGGTGAGGAGAGGTAGTCAGGAAAACCCAAGTCTAGTAGCTTCCCAAGGGGCTCAGCCGGACCCTAGGCTCAACAGCACCTGAAGGCTAATGCTGGGGGTTCTTGGGGGAGGGGCGCCCCAGCCCCTCTGGAGCTGGTCTCGGACTCTTTGGAGGATCCCAGCGATGTTATGTCCTACTGCATCTGGCCCCAGGGCCACGGACAGACAGGATGACACTGAGCCAGCCAGGAAGACCGGGCAGCGGGACTGTGGGTGTCCTCTGGGGAGCCAACTGGGTGGTGCCCGCTTTTAAAAATGTACCTTGCGCCAGTTGTCTGGGGTGAATGCCCCCTGGCTGCCCCATCGTGGTGGTGGAGAGCACAGAGCAGAGGCCAGCCGCCCCCCGCCGGTGGGGTAAGAGCTGTGGGTGGGGGCGTGCCCGATAGCCCGGTAGCCAGGTGCCCTGTATTGCCTGGAGGTGTTTATCAACCCCTAGCCCGAGCTGCGAGGCCGGGCCCCTGTCTTTGAGCATGCGCGAGCCTCTGTCTGTCCGCAACCCTGTCCCTCCTGGGCCCGGCTATTTCCCCGCCTGCCTGGATGCGATCTCTGCCGCTTCCCTCTGGGCGAGTGGGTGTAACAAGTCCAAACCTCTGGGAGTCAGGCAGGCTCGGGCGCCCCGCCCTCTGGGCTGTGCCTCTTCCTCCCAAACTGGTTGTGCAGGAGCAGCTGAGTGTGGGCAGTGTGGGTGCATGCGTGGCAGCCCCGGCCGGCGCCCGCTCGCCGCCTCACCTGCGGGGAGGGGCCTCCCAGAAACTGCCTTCTCGGTGCCTGGCCACCCCACCTCGCCAGAGCCCAGCTGAGCAGCCAGCGAGGACACACGCCCGCCGCCTGCCACCCGCCTGCACCGGCCGAGCCCAGCCTGAGCGGCACCTGCCTTTACAACCATGTTCAAGGGTCTGAACAAAGGCTCCCAGGGAAAGGGGTCCCCTAAGGGTTCCCCGGCCAAGGGCTCTCCCAAGGGCTCCCCTAGCAAGCACAGCCGGTAAGTGGGGCCCGGGGCAGCGGGCTGGAGCGGGGTGGTGCCCGGCCCAGGTGCTCCCATTTCCACCTGCAAATGGCAGCCCGCCCGGAGCTCAGGACCAGCCCAGTGCTGGCATTTAGTGTCCCGAGGCCAAAGGGCCCCGGGGGTGGACTCTCTCCCTTGCCCAGACAGCTCCAGTCCTAGCAGGAGGCCAGGGACGGCCTGGGGCTCCCACATTCTCCAAGGGGCCCGGGGGTGCTCTGCAGGAGACACGATGGATGAGGAGGGCCCCGGGGGGTGCTGGGAGACCCGAGTGCCTGGCTCCCTGTCCGTGGCTCTGCCCTCACGGCTCTGCTTGGGCTGGGCTGACCCTTGGAACCTGGGTACAGGGTGGGCAGAGGGACGGAGGCAGAGAAGGGAGGCTGGGTGCCTGGCGCAGGGAGGCGGGGCTGTTGTGCTGCTGGGTCCAAGCTGTAGCTTTCCTCTCCAGGCTCTCACCTGGGGCCTTGAGTTTTGTTACAGTGTTGGGGTGTGAGGAGAGGGTGCTGCAGGGAAAGGGGAGGGCCAGAAGGCCTGGGACATCCTCAGAGCCTCCCTCTGCTGCCCCAGCTCCCTGCCCGGCCCGGCCTGCCTCTCGACAGCCCCGCGGTCCGCAGACAGACTTGGCTGCTCCCTTCTCGTTCTTCCCTCTCACTGGCCGTCAGCCCCCTCTGCAGGGTGGAGGTGGCAGATGGGAGTGGAGATGAAAGGCTCATTAGCCTGATAGGGATCAGGGTGATGACACTGAGGCTGGGCTTCTGGGCAGACAGGAAAGACAGCAGTTAGGACTCTCACTGCAGTGACCTGTCCTTTGTGCTCCTCCCGATGGGAGCAGCCCTCCCAGGAGGCCAGGCCTGAAGACAGGTGACCCGGGGCTCAGGCAGGACCCACAGCCCCCTGTCCCCAGCCAGGCTCCCGGGCAGCGCTTTCCTAGCCTGGGGCAGCTGGCGGCTCTGTCTACACAGCTCAGTTGGCTCTGGCTGCAGTCGCCCCACACAGGGCTCATTGTTCCCCTCATGTGCAGTCTAGTCCTTTGACACGTTTATTGAGCACCTACTGTGTGCCAGGACTGTTCTAGGCACTGAGGATGCCACCTTACACAGAACCAACAGGTCCTTAACTTTGTGGTGCCTATATTCTAGTGGGATAAGACCTAGCTGGATGCCGACTACACGGGCTGCGCGCTGGCTGCTTCAGGTGGATTCATCCTCCTAACACAGAAACACTGTGACGTAGATAGTATTGAAGCCCCACTTTACAAACGAGGCACTTCGGGCACAGAGAGTTTAAGCAACTTGCCCAAAGCCACACAGCAGTATAGCTCTGGAAAGTGATCATACCCAGGCTGTTTGGTCCACAGTTCTTTCATTTTTTAAAAATGTTTATTTATTTTGAGAGAGAGCACTCGTGAGCAGGGGAGAGGCAGAGAGAGAGAATCCCAAGCAGGCTCTTTGAGATCAGTGCAGAGCCCAACTCGGGGCTCAATCTCAGGAACTGAACCGTGAGATCATGACCTGAGCCAAAATCAAGAGTTGGATACTAGGGGTGCCTGGGTGGCCCAGTTGGTTAAGCGTCCGACTTTGGCTCGGGTCATGATCTCACGGTTCGTGGGTTCGAGCCCCGCGTCAGGCTCTGTGCTGACAACTCGGAGCCTGGAGCCTGCTCTGGATTCTGTGTCTCCCTCTTTCTCTGCCCCTACCCCACTCACTCTCTCTCTCTCAAAAATAAACATTAACTTTTTTTTTTTTTTGAAAGAGTTGAATGCTTAGCCAAATGAGCCACCCAGCTGCCCCTGCCCAGAGTTCTTTCTGGCACCATCCCTCTGTTGGGGCAGCCAGGGGTGGGGGTTCATCCTTTGATCCCTAATTCAAGGCCAGCTCCCTGAAGCCTTCCCCTTCCCCTTCCCCGGGGCTGTGACCTCACAGGGTGCTGTGCTTATGAGGCTTGGACGACTCTACCTTTTACTAGGTTTGCTTGACCCTCTAGGCTGCAGAGCGTGAGCTCAGGCACACAGCAAGTGCCCCGTGCAAAGGACTCTGGGGAGCCAGATCAGGCTTCTACTCTGCTCCTTGCTGTGCGACCTAGAGCAAGTCAGGTCCTAATCTAGGCTTAAATCCCCTTAATCTGGGGATGTTGAAGTGTCCGCACAATCTATATGCCTCCCCCTGCCCCAGTGCTGTGTGGCTCCTCCAGATGGTTATTAGCCTGGGCATAGGCAAAGCCCAGGGTGTGAGGGGGAGACAGGGCTGGGGTGGGAGGAGGTTGGGGTGGGGGACATGCCGCCGCTCCCCTACCCCCAGCCAGCCCACTGCCCCTCCCAAAGCCCAGCCATGCTGTCTCGGGCCTTAGCGGCTGAGGTATGAATCACTCCCAAGTGAGAGGCAGGGAGCTGGGTGGGGTTAGGAACTCACTGCCAGGACGGTGATGTTGGCCTGCTCCCTTGTGCCAGACACACTGGAGACCCCCATTCTCTGAACCCTCATGTGGGGACAGTGCTCTCCGACCTTCAGGACTGGGAATCTCCCAGAACCTCCTGCAGAGAGAGACCAGAGACCCCACGTCTTGGAAGCCGCCCTTCTGGGCAGGGAGCCTGGCTGCGGAGAAGAATAGGGCCGAGGGACACAGGGGACCCCACACAGGTGGACCCCATGCAGGTGGCTCTTTTCCAACCAGGCTGCTCTCTGTCCCCACCCCCACCCCAGGGCTGCCACCCAGGAGCTGGCCCTTCTCATCTCCCGCATGCAGGCCAATGCCGACCAGGTGGAGAGGGACATCCTGGAGACCCAGAAGAAACTGCAGCAGGTAAGGCTGCAGGGGTGAGGGGGCAAGGGAGGCTCCCTGGAGCATCTGGAGTGCAGGCGGTGAAGGTGGGACAGACCACCCTTGGCCTTCTCTGGTCGTTCCCCAAACACAGTGGGAGAGAGGGCTCCGCTCTGCTTCTCTGTTGGACTTCCAACTTGGGAGGGTCAAAGGGGCTCCCCCCAGTCTTTGCGCCTGCCCCACAGATGCCCTGGGCCTGGCCCTCTGCTGGTGTGGGCACTGAGGCCGGCAGATGGGAATGCGAGAATGGGGCTCGGGGCAGGGGTGATGATGGGCAGCGAGGATGTGGTCCCACGCCCGCAGGACCGAGTGCACGGCGAGCAGGACCAGGCCCTGAAGCACCGGCAGGAGGTGGGCCGCAGCCTGAAGGAGGCCGAGGTGCTGCTGAAGGACCTCTTCCTGGACGTGGACAAGGCCCGGCGGCTCAAGCACCCGCAGGCCGAGGAGATCGAGAAGGAGTGAGTGGGGTGGCAGCCGGGGCCGGGGCTGGAGAACGGAAGCGTCGGGGCTCCAGGGGAGCCCCAGGCCCAGCCCTGACCTGCCGGCCCCCCTCCTTCGTAGCATCAAGCAGCTGCACGAGCGGGTGACCCAGGCGTGTGCCGAGTACCGCGCCCTGTACGAGAAGATGGTGCTGCCCCCTGCCGTGGGGCCCAGAGTCGACTGGGCACGGGTGCTGGAGCAGAAACAGGTCAGGGTCATCCCCAATGTCGGAGACACCTCAGGGAGCTCAAAATCACAGCTGCCCCACCCCCAACCCCCCCCCCCCCCCCCCCCCGGGGGGGGGGGCCGGCGGGGGGGGCCTGCTGAGTGCTTGCACCTGGGAGGGTCTGGGAAGGGAGAGCTCCCAGGGGACCGTGCGCAGCCAGGGAAGGCTTCCTGCAGGAAGGGGTGTGTGAAGAGGTGGGAGGGTTCAGTTAGGTTGGGGTGAAATGGTGAGAGGACATTCCAGAAAGAAGAAAGGGAGGCTCCAGACTGGGGTGGGGTGGGAAGCGGGGTTTTCTGGGGAGGCAGGCAGAGCCAGGTCATGGGCGTGTCACCCTGAGCATTGGGTGGGGAACCGTGCCTTGATATCACAACACAACGGTGCCTGATGACAATGAAGGGACAGTGGGGAGGGCACGGGTGTCGCAGGTGTCGCAGGGTCCCAGAGCCTAGCGACAGGTGTGTAGGCGGGAGGTACCGAGGCCAGGGCAGGTAAGGAGGCAGGGAGGGGCAGGAAGACATTTTAGCGGCCGAGCTCTGCATTCTGGGGACCAGTAGGCATCGGGGACTGCAGTCGTGATGACGCTCGGCCAGGGCCACCAGAGGGCAGCATGTCCCCCGGGGTGAGCTGCCTGCCGTTCACCTGGGCTGCTCTGCGGGCCTGTCCACCCTCTGCCCGAACGACCGACTCTGCTCCTCCGCACGGGGACGCGGGGAGGGCGTGGGAGGGCTGGCGCCCTGCGGCTGAGCTGAACCCCCAGCTCCTTCTGCAGAAGCAGGTGCGCGAGGGCCGGTACGGACCCGGCATGGCCCAGCTGGAAGAGCAGATTGCCGAGCACAACATCCTGCAGAAGGAGATCGAGGCCTATGGGCAGCAGCTGCGGAACCTCATCGGGCAGGTGGGGGATATACATCCCTGCCTGGCCCCTCCCCTCCCCTCCCCTCCCCCCCCCCCCCCGAGCGCCCGCCAGCCCACACAGGATGGGACGGGAGCTGAGACCGGAGGGGGCAGGGGCCG